TGAAACCATTCATTTTTCTCATTCTTCTTTTGACTCCCCTTTCACAGTGCCTCTCACGTACAAGGCTGGCCACGTTGATGAAGTTGAGCGCGAGCCGCCCCCATCCTTGTGTGCCATAACAGCCCACTTGTACACTGTGAGAAAGAGGCAGAGTGAAGGGGGAGGGGATAAACACAGGGAGAGAGATGGAGAGCAGACAAACAAAGAACGATAAAGGGAAAGTAAGGGAAAGTAAGGGAAAGTATGGAGTGTGGAGTGAAGATGAAGGCAAAAGAGGATAAGAAAAAGCTCAAGAATGAGTCTGTCCTTGACGACAGAGAGGACATACATTGTAAGGATGACGTGGATGAACACATGAAGACCTAGCTGAGCATTCTCAGTGCAACAATTGCCACGACGGGTGGCATTGAGCATGCCCGCCATACACCCCCGACAAATGGCATGTCGATTGCATGCCAAAATGAAAGAAGAACGGTCACCACAAAAGAGCATGCATTCAGTATAGCGCCCATGGCCGCAAAATGGACATATAGTGTCTGGATGCGGMGGGTGCCTGCAGTCAGGAACGGTGGGACAGTCCTCTGCACACATGGATGCAGAAACCATGTCATTGTAGTGATTGTGACAAAGACGATGGCGGCTACAGCCGAGTGTAATAGTGTTTGTGGTTGTGCAAAGGAGAAGGTCGCAAAGTGTTGGTACATTGTCTTGCTGCAGCACGGGGCCAGAGGAATGGCCTTCGACATAAAAGAGATTGCAGATGGTTTGTTGTGGCACGAAAACAACATCATTTTGTAAGAAATCAGTGACATCAATCATGGCATGGACCATGGTGCCATTGTCCCACAGTTCCCAGTGGTCAAAGGCATGTACAATGGCCATGTAATGGCCAGGGCCGTGCACAATGCAGGTAGAGATGTGAGATGGAGGATTAAACCACTCACCTGCTCGAGCATTGCGTAGTTCAAGTTGACGGTCCCTCATTGCTACTTGTAGAACAACAATGGTAAAGCCTCCTTCGCTGGTATAATTACAATCCTCTGGCTGTCGTTGGGGAAGATCAGCATCAAGCTGAAGGGCGATTGCAAGGAAGTCTGATGGTGTATAAAACGGGCGATGGAGAATGTGAAGACAGATATTAGTTGTTGTCAGACCACAAAGATTGGTGAGGTTCTCAGACTGGTTTGTCGGATGCTGGCCAACAATTTGCAGATCACCCAAATGGTGTTGCAAGCCCAAAGTGTGTTGGGCTGTTTGCTGGTCAGTCATTTGCAGATCACCCATGTGGTCTGCGTGTGGCGGAGCAGAAAATTGTGGTTCATCCGAACAATGCTGGTCAGCCACTTGCAGATCCCCCATGTGGTCTATGCCTTGTGGGGTCAACTGCAATTCGGGCAAATTATGTTCCAATCCCTCAACATTTAGGGCTGCATCCTGAGTAGGGGCTGTACCTGGAGTCGGGAGTGTACTTTGGGTAGTGGCTGCATCCTGAGTAGGGACTGGTGGCTGCCTGCAGGCAGCTGCACTGTCTGCAGGAGGCATAGGAGCGGATATTGCCGGTTGAAACAAAGGAACCGCAACAACTTGTGGAAGAGGCACAGAGAGAATCGTGGTAGACAAAGAAACAAGTTGATGATCCCCGGGCAAGTGACGATGCCCCGGGTGTCGTCGGTGATACACAACAAGTAGTGGTGTTGCAAACAAAAGCTGAACTTGTACCTGGCAACACAGGTGGAACAATGGGAGCAATGGAAACTGGAGAGTCTGTTCGCAAGCGAGACCGTGGAGGAGATGGAGGTGGTGAGGAGGAACGCAGTCGTCTACGGCCAAGCACAGACAAAGATGAGAGGGGGACGAAGCAAAGGACGTGAGCGTCGGAGAGATTGTGATGTTCTTTGCATTGGACCTGCAGGACAGGAAGCTGTAGCAGTAAAAACTAAAGTAGGGGGAATTACAGTTAGGGAAACTGTTGTACTGAAAACTGCAGCAGTAGAAACTGCAGCAGCGAAAACTGGAGCAGTGGAAACTGGAGCAATGGAAACTGCAGTAGTGGACATTGAAGCAGTGGAAACCGCAACAGTGGACACTGCAGCAGTGGAAACTGCAGGAGTGGAGACGGCAACAGTGGAAAGTGCGGTAGCAGCAGATGAGCAAGCAGGGGCAGGACAAGAGCATCGTAGGGGCGAAGAAGAAATTGGATGATACAAGGACTATCGCAGCATGCGTCAGAACCACAGAGAGAGACGCGTCACATGTGTAGAATAGCGACGTTGGCGGGAGCGCATGTAGCAGGTCCACCCCCTAGCAAGGGTTGGTGGGGAATGCCCACGCAAAAGCATACGACGAGTAAGTGTTGTTGCGGCAGTTCGAAAGTCCTGCCAATTGTTACAGATTTGTTCAAATCTGGTCAATTGCCCAGTGAACACACCAGCCGGTTGATGGGAAGGGATGTTCCAAAGTACTGTGGCATGAGCTTACGAGATATCCCATGCTCCTGTCCCAGTTCTGAGGACTTGACCCAGACTCGGTCCCCTACCTGAAATGTGGACGGGCGGCAGTGTTTGTTCTCAGACTCTATCATTGCCGCCTGTGCTTTCTGCATTTGTTCCACTGCCTGCTGCATCGTTTGTTCATATCGATAAGCAAATTCTAGTGTACCCGGTGCAACAGTTTGCTGGTTCTCAGGTAATAGAAAGTCTAGGGGCAGTCTAGGCTTGAACGTTAGTAGCAGGCTGTTAGGGCTCACCCCTGTGGCGCTGTGCACAACGTTGTTGTACAAGCTGGCGATGAGAGCGAGCTTCTCATCCCATTCCACCTGGTTGGGCTTGATGTAATGCCGCAGCAGGTGTTGTACAGCGCGATTCAGCTGCTCTGCTTGGCCGTTGGCCTCTGGGTGGTTCCCAGAGGTCATCTGCAGTTGTGTCCCCTGTTCTGCAGCTGCAGCCTTCCACAACTCGCTAGTGAATCTGACATCCCGGTCACTCACGATAGGCTTTGGTAATCCAAAATCTCTGACCCAGTTCTCCTTGAATAGTCTAATGACGTACTCAGTCTTTGTTGTTTCCGACATTGCAACTAACCTAGCATTTGCAAAAATAAAATTGAATAAAGTTTAAATAAGATTAAACATTTAGTCATAATATTTAATTAAATAATTTCATGAAGTTTAATCGGGAGAATTCAGCATCATTACGAGGTCATGAGGAAAGTAGAAGCTCAATGGTAATAGGAAGATACACTATTTGTCGTAAAGATTTAATCTTTAATCGCAATAAAAGATGCGTTTTGCAAAAAGTGAAAGTTCCGTGAAGTTGCAGTTTGAATATGGCCGTGCTATGCCTGATTTGCCGTAATTGGTGAGGTGCCTGGCTGGCACTTACTTCCCATAGCCTGATAGGTCGGTCGGTCGTTAGATTAGCTTAGGACTAACCCTAATTAGCGCTAATTAGGTTAATCGGGATTAACAATTTCCTAATTGTGCGCATTATGGGGAGAGCCGCTACACCTAAAAATAGAACTCAAACGACCTAATTAACTATGAAAGAAGAAGAAAAAGAAAAAAGTTGCAACTTGCGATTAATGATAACAGAGTACAGGTGTAAATAATCAGTCAATCAATCAATCAATCAATCAATCAATCAATCAATCAATCAATCAATCAATCAATCAATCAATCAATCAATCAATCAATTGGTTGATCAGGCGCTAGTTTATCAGCTTGATCCATCAATCGATCGATTGATGATGAGTCATCCAATGCTGGTCTGCTCCGATGCCAAACTGTTGCATACTTGTGAAACACAGTCATAAGTATGGCGCAGATTACCAGAACCGACCAGATAATACAGAGTAAGTACAAATACAGCGGAAGACTTGAGATACATGGATTGACTCAGACCTGACTCAGACCTGACTCAGACCTGACTCAGACTGCAACGAAACACTCACGAACATACATCGGTGGTGTGAAGCCCTGGCCTTGGATATAGAAGAAAAGGCCAGGGTCAATTCTCATACACGGATGAATGGAGAGGAGGAGAGACGAAGGGAGGAGGAGAGGGAAGATGACATCAGCTCAATGTTTCCGAAGATAGTATCTCAAAATGTCAGAAGTAGTGAAAATCCGAAATGTCGTGAACACAGAGTCTCACAGTGTCTCAGATATCGATCCACATCATCAGAACTCGTAACCATCCTTCATACTCGTAGTAGTCCAGTTGGCGTAGCCCAGAAGTAGACTTAGACTTAGAGGGTAGGAGGAGAGCGAGAGAGAGTGAGAGTGGAGGAGGAAGAAGAGGGAGTAAAGGCAAGGCCTTTCTCCCTGATACCTGCGCGAGGCAGCTATGGTGCTGCAGGGCTGGCGCTGGGCCGCGGGCTGGGCCGGAGGCTGGCGCTCTTCCACCGCTGCGCTAATCTGCCGCTGCGGTATCTCTCCTCCATGCTGCGCTGATCCTCTCTGCTGCTCAGCTGCTAACGCTGAAGTGCTGCACTAATCCTGTAGACTAACATCCTCACTACTAACCTCCCTGACTGAGGCTGGTACCCAGCTGATATAGTGCTGGGTCGGCCTCAGTCCTACTGAGTGCCTTCGGGTCTGGACCGTTGATCAGGCCCAACGGTTCAGATCTGATTTTAATCTGAAAAGTGGCGCCTAAAACTGCGCCGCCAGCCGGTCGTACCGATGGACCGGTACCTGGCCTAAACTCAACTAGTCGTTGGGTCTGGTGGGTCTAAACTAGGCCTACCGGACTCTAATCTGAACCGGTGGTTCCCTAGGCCTACCTGGACCTAGCTGGGGACCGTCGGGACCCGGTACCTAGGCCTAACCCCTGCCTACTACAGAACCGGGCCCTAACTGGGGTCCGTGTGGTATCAGTATGCCACACTCACTGTCTTGCTGCCTCGCTGCCTCAGTGCATTGTGGCCTTGCTGCCTGCTGCTCATTCTGTTGCCCTGCTGCTTGTGTTGTCATTTAGCTGCCTTGTGCCTTGCTACGGTGTTGCCTCACTGCTTTGTTGCCTTGCTGCTGTGTCATCCACCCTGCTGCGTGCCTTATCATTTAGGTGCCTCCTGCCTTATCATTTAGCTCCCTCCTGCTTTGCTGACCTGTCGCCTCGCTGCATAGTTGCCTTGCTTGTGGCCTCACTGCCTTGTTGCCTTGCTGCCTTGCTGCCTTATTGCCGGCTGGTCATCAGGTCGCACTGCTGCTTGCCATGCTGTTTGGCTGCCTTGTCGGTGCTGCTTGTTGCCTCACTGCCTCACTGCCTTGCTGCCTTGCTGCCTTGCTGCCTTGCTGCCTTGCTGCCTGCTGCTCATAGTAGCACCTTGCTGCCTGTGTTGTTGTTTGGCTGCCCACCTGCCTCCCACCTTGCCCTCCAGCCCATGTGCCTTGTTCCTCACCTTGCCTTGCTGCTTGTGATGTCACCACCTGCCCGTCCACTTACAACACAGGGGCTAAAGGAGATCACAACTTGAAACATCAATATGGCGATTACAAAGATTGTCCAGGGTTGAGCCTCGTGATGAGTCGACTCAAGTTTGACAAAACAGCCTGTCACCATCGTTGTGTGTTTTCTTTCCTGTCTTTCTTTTTCTTTTTTCCTTTTTTCGCTACCCCCCCACCAATCTTGTACTTCATTTTTTTCTTGACCCCCCCCACCCCTGGTCCTGTCCGCACGTTTATGCCTTTGCATGTTTACATTCCTTCCATTTGCATTCCTGGCTTCATGTTCTTTTTGGAGTGTTCTCTAGGCGTACTGTGGATGCAACCGGCTGCGATGCGATCATGGAGGTCTTATCCTCCCCCACACACACATACACACACAACACGCACATGTTTTTTTTTTTTTTTTTTTTTTTTTTTTTTTTTTTTTTTTTTTTTTTACACATGAACATCACCACAAACACAGTTTACAACTGTACACACACGTTTTCCTGATGTTGCACAGCTCTTCGAAGCAGGGACAGCCTTTGATGACTGCTATGTCAAATGTGGTGGTATCAAGTCCCCGCTAATCAGCAAAAAGACTACTCGTCCCAAACAGCAGGTATGTGTAACAAATCTGTGGGTGACGGAGACGTTAGCCGGACCAAAATTTGGGATGGTAGCTAACAGGACTGCCTTTCCATTCTTCTTCCTCCTCATTACGTCCTCCTCCTCTTCCTCCTCCTCCTTGTGCTCCTGTGATTCTCCTTCTTTCTCTGCTCCTCCTGCTCCTGGGCTCATTCCTACTACTACTCATGACCACCTCCTCCTGCTCCTTTCCTTTTTCGTCTTCGTCTTCGTCTTCGTCGTCGTCGTCGTCGTCCTCCTCCTCCTCCTCCTCCCTCTCCTCCTCCTTGTTCTTCTTTTCCTCCCTCTCCTCATCCTCTTTCCTCTTCTTCTTCTTTCTCCTCCTCCCTGTTCTCCTCCTGCCGCTGCTTGTTATCTGTATTATTTTTCTGCTTCTCCTGCTCCTCCTTTGCGCCTTCTCCGTCTTCTTCCTGTCCTCCTCCTGCTTCTCAGCCTTCTCCATGATTTGCATGATGACATGTTATTCAAGATCCAGAGCTGTCCAGGCTGCTGCAATGAGCATTCATTCAGTCGATCATTGTGAACTCGTAAAGTTTCCTCCTGTTCATTCAATATTCAAACATGACATCCTTAAAGGACCGGTAAGCAATACGATTACGATGTACTCGACCACTCTGACAAGTTATTATGAGGTGAAGTGCGAGAGGCTGTAAGGTGCCATATCTCCTCTCCTTTGTGAGGTGGCGAGCACATTAGAGCACAAATGGAGGACAACAGAAAAGGCGCATCCGGTGGGGGTTGGGATGACCGCCGTTCTGCTTCGCCACACCTCAGGCCAGTACGGAGTCCTCCATCCGAGCAAAGCTTGAAAGCGAAGGAAGAAGTAGGGAAGGGAATCGTTGACGAAGATGCGCAGAGAAGGCAGCAAAATGGCAGCGGCACAGAGCCGACAGAATCATATGATGGTAAACGAATCGACGAGGACAGTCTGACTGCACTGTACTACAACGAACGAAGACCTCACCCTCACCCGCATGAGCGAGGACGTGACAAAGAACGTTTGAAGGAAAGAGCTGGGGGAGGAAAACCAAGAGGAAAAAGAGGAAAGAAACTAGACATTGGAGGAGAGCGCACACCCCCGACAGAAAGCGGAAGTGAAAGTGAGAGCGACAGCGGCACCGAAACTGACAGCGATTCAGAGAGTGGAAGTGGGAGTGAAAGCGATGAAGTAAGTGACGTCAGGTCGATGATGGGCAAGGGGAAGGAGCCGTTCCCATCACTTCCCTCCTTGGCTGGAACTCAAGGGCGGGCAGGGGCAACAGTGGGTGCAGCTAATCAGGGTACAATGCCAGTGGTGGTTCAGCGTAGAGAAGAGACCGCCAAGAATGGCACGCAGGATGATCCTAGCGGCGGGATAAGGCACAGGACAAGGGAACAGCAAGGGAAAGGGGAAAGTGGAGAAGCCAGCGATAGCGGCAGCAGCAACAGCGCCAGCAGCAGCAGTGGCAGTGGCAGTAGCAGTGAAGATGATGAAGACGCAGAGAGGAGGAGAGCGCACGACAACAGCGAGGATGCCGATGACGAGGGTGAGGGGGAGGAGGAGGAAGATTCTCCTCAGTCCAGGTCAATGACACTTTCGCCGCTTTCTAAGGGGAAGGAGAAAATCGAAGAACAACCGCGCAAAAGGAAGCGTAGCGTGAGAAGCAACTACACAAGCAGTGGTGAAGATGAGGTTCCGATCGTCATCGGAGGTTTGTTACCTCATCATCAACATCATCATCATCATCATCATCATCATCATCCTTACCATAGAAAGAGAAGCCCTGCCTCCATGCCACCCGCATCAAAAAGGCGGCAGAAGCCATCATCATAGCAGTCAATCCCTCTAGGCTCTATCTGTATCTAGCTCAGTCCAATTGCAGACTCTATCCCCAGTCCCAATCCCAACCCCAATCCCAGTCCCGCTACTGGTCCTAATCGCAGTCCCACTCACAATCCTAGTCTCTGACCAATCCATGGTGTCTCTAATTGCCTTACAGAGCAGAGTAGGATGAAATGGGCTGGTAGGGGGACTGAGCCTGTAGCCGGGAAAATGAGGCTGAGATTGGGACTGAGACTGAGACTGAGACTGGGACTGGGACTGAGACTGGGAAGGAGACTGTTATCAGAATACCAATGGGCCTAGCTAAGTTGGTACACCCATCAACTGTTGCAATGCATACCTGAGTTCGAATCCAGATGAAACTAGACGAATTGAATAAAAGAAGACTGGTACTGAGACTGAGAATACCATGACTGGAACTGAGACATACTGGGACTGAGTCTGAGAAGAGAATGGGACGGCAACCAGGACTGAGATTGGGACAGACTGGCACTGAGTTTCTGGACTGAGACTGAGACGCGACATTGTGACTGAGACTAGGACTGGGACTGGGACTGGGACTGGGACTGGGACTGGGACTGGGACTGGGACTGGGACTGGAACTGGGACTGGGACTGGGACTGAGTGTGGCAATGACACTTACTGAGACTGGGGCTAATGTATAGGGACTGACTGAGGCTAGGAAATTGAGTGAGATTGGGACTCAGCTTGGGACCAATATTGTTACTGAGAATGGGACTGAGGCCGAGTCTGCTTTTGGGACTCCAGGGGATTGGGATGGAGATGAAGGGTGAAACCTATCAGGAACCAGCAGGAAGACCAGGTAGATGTGAAGCAACACTGGGATGTCTGCTTGCTGCTTGCTGCTTGCTGTGGACTACCAGTGTGACAAGTCCTCCGAGGATTGACTATTCACAAATCGAGTTTGGTGGCTGAAATTCTGCAACTTCTCTTTTCTAAGCGTTTCTCATTTCTTTTTTGTTTTGTTTTGTTTTCTTGTTGTGTTGGAAAGAGGACAAGCATTGATACATGGCAGTGCGCCGTGTGCCAGCTATTACTCGGTGAGAGGGTTTTTTTTTTTTTCCTTTCGGAATAGATTTTCAATTTTTTGTTTTTTTTTTGAAATTTTCTGATGTTTTCACCAACGGTTTTGCTTTCCCCAAGGAGTTTTGGCAGAAGTCGTGTAATGAGCGTTACTGAAATCACTCACGGCAGGCTCACACTGCGGCACCAAATCTGCGTACTTCCCCAAATCCCCAAAAAATAGTGTCGAGGGGCAGTCATACCCAGTTCACATTTTCGCAAACTACTCATTTGTGAACCCTTTTGTCAGAGGCCTGAGGAGCCGCAGGGTTAGGTTACTGCAAAGTCCTTGTTATACAGAAAATTGGGCGAGGGAAAAAGGGTGTGCCCGTGTGACTGGCTTCCTCCCAAGCTCCACACCCAGCGAGCTGCCGCGACCGGGAAATGGGAGATTTGGGGACACGTGTGACTGGCGCCACCACTATTTCCCCAAATCAGGCCTTGCTATTTTTTAAGAATATGCGGATTTGCTACCGCAGTGTGAGCGTGCCCTCAATCACTAATTTCCCAACAGAAAAGTGGAGATTTCCCCGAAGGAATTTCGGGCTCCACAGCAAAATGAGCCTTTCCCCCACCCTTTTCTTAGGAAAGACTGTAAGCTTTAATGAACCTGAAAGTACGTACTGGGGCCAATACCCAGTTTATTGAGTGTAGGCTATTGTTGCTGTAAACCAGGTCTAGCGTCCCATGTTTTCGAAACCTCAGTCTTCCCCAAATAGCCCTGGAGTTCAAACAAGAATGAACTGAACATCTATGGTATTATACGCATCGTTAGACACTCCTCGGGGACGTGAAATCCACAAGGACGCGCTCGTTCCACCTGTCCTTGGGGATGGAATTGAAAAGAAACTTCCTTGTGGCGTCCTTGTGGCCCCAGCCAAAATTTTTCTTATCCTTCACGGAGTGGCAAAGACATGTGTCGACGGAGAGTTTCAGTTCTTGGGTGGTCCAGATGTGGTCCAACGGCTTTAGCACGAACATCCCCCCCCTCCAACGTCTGCGTAGTCCCCCAACGGCCCCCAAAGGCTACTTTTGGCGGTGGGCCTCTATCGGGTGTCGTCGTCGTTTTTGGCCGGCATCATGCGGTCTCCCGCGCTCGAGGAATGTCCCCAACGGTTGGGAACATATTTTTTTCCCGGCGGCGCCTTCAGTCCGTCCACGGAAGAGGTTTCTGCACAAGCATCGTATTCCCACGCGTGGCGTCACGTGCAGCACGCCCGATAAGACTCTTGCCTTCTCCGCCGTCGTGTGCTAGACGTCCGACAACAGACGTGGCATTGCTGCCCTCTCCACCGTGCAGTTCATGGACGACCTGTACCACAGGCTCCCTCTGCTGCTCCTCGTCCCTGTGCTGCCTCTGGTGGTCCCTCTGCTGCTCCTCGGCGCTGTGCTGCTTCTCGTTGAAGTGGCGTCGTCGCATTGTCGAAGGTCTCCCCACGTCCCCCCTGTCCTGCGTTTGATCCACCACCTCGGTGTCGCTCGTGGAATGACGCCGCAACCCAATGTGTAGCACAACTCAATGACAGCCTCCGAAGTTGCCACGTAGTCGGGGCCGTCATCCGCAGCTTGCATCAGCGTCCTTCTTCTACGCGCGCGCAACAGCTCCTTCATTCGTCCCAGTGCCCTCTCTTGCTGACAACGAAGAACAACGATTGACACGGCCGCCGCCACGGCTGCCCGCTCGAGCGGTGTCAATAGCGCACGTCCGCCCTCTCCGCCGCCCTCCATCGCAACAACCTCCACAGGGATGACGTCTCTCCGCTGACGTCTCGATCCTCACACCCCAGAGACTTAACCCGCTCACCCCTCGAGGAGAGGTCCGAGAAGCTGCTGCCTTAACCCGCTCACCCCTCGAGGAGAGGTCCGAGAAGCTGCTGCCTTTCCGTGGATGCCGTCCCCCTGGCGGAAATGTGTGTGATGGCGTGGACGACGTGGAGGAGAAGCTCGACGGTGATGGACGCACCTGGTGCACGCACGTACACTGACTGGGAGGTGGGCAGAAAGGACGTCGTTGCTAAGGCCAATTCAGCCCTGCACCGTCTGCACGCCGCAAGCCGAACGTCGTCGTCGTCACCACAGCCGTACTTCAAATTTTGAATTTCAAACGTAGAGGTCCCTTTTTTTTGTATATTTTTTGTGGCCTGCTTCATGCCCTTTCCCACCTGACGTCGCTGGACCACGCCGTCTCCACACGGACACCGGACGCTGGACCACGGACACCCACCCCCGCGCCCGCATATTTTCGTATGAAAATGGCCGCGGGCAGGTCACAAGGAAATGTCCTTCGGGGACGTCCCCAAGGATGTGTGGAATGACGCCGCAAAATTCCCTTACGAGCCACAAGGAACGCATAAGGAGCATACTTGCGGCGCATGTATGCGCTGCGCATGCGCGGTGCGCCATGCGCGCGCATCGCGCATCTGAGTGCGCCATGCGCACATCAGTATGCGCCGTGCGCTGGTGTGTGCGCAACTGCGGGCTGTTCCCCTGGGTGGTGCGCCAGATGCGCCGCATTTTTTTTTATTTTTATTTTTTTTTCGGGCCTCCCCCTGCTGCATTGCGCGTTGCCTAGCCAAAACCGTGCCTTTCTGTGCTCCCCCCGACGACGAGGGAGAGATGGACGAAGGAGGAGAGAGAAGGGGGGGAAGGAGGAGGAGAGATGGACGAAGAAGGAGGAGAGAGAGAGGGAGGAAGGAGGAGGGAGAGATGGATGAAGAAGAAGGGAGAGAGGAGGAGAGAGAAAGGGATGAAGGAGGAGGGAGAGATGGACGAAGAAGGAGGAGAGAGGAGGAGCAAGGAGGAGGGATAGATGGACGAAGAAGGAGGAGGAGAAAGAAAGGGAGGAAGGAGGAGGGAGAGATGGACGAAGGAGGAGAGAGAGAGGGAGGAAGGAGGAGGGAGAG